GCTGGTGAATGTGTATGCACTTCGGGTGACCGCTGGTGAATGTTTCTGCCCTTGGGGTGACCGCTGGTGAATGTTTCTGCCCTTGGGGTGAACGTTGGTGAATGTTTCTGCACTTGGGGTGACCGTTGGTGAATGTTTCTGCACTTCGGGTGACCGCTGGTGAATGTGTATGCACTTGGGGTGACCGTTGGTGAATGTGTATGCACTTGGGGTGACCGTTGGTGAATGTGTATGCACTTGGGGTGACCGTTGGTGAATGTTTCTGCACTTGGGGTGACCGTTGGTGAATGTTTCTGCCCTTGGGGTGAATGTTGGTGAATGTTTCTGCACTTGAGGTGAACGTTGGTGAATGTTTCTGCACTTGGGGTGACCGTTGGTGAATGTTTCTGCACTTGGGGTGACCGTTGGTGAATGTTTCTGCACTTGGGGTGACCGTTGGTGAATGTTTCTGCACTTGGGGTGACCGTTGGTGAATGTTTCTGCACTTGGGGTGACCGTTGGTGAATGTTTCTGCACTTGGGGTGACCGTTGGTGAATGTTTCTGCACTTGGGGTGACCGTTGGTGAATGTTTCTGCACTTGGGGTGACCGTTGGTGAATGTTTCTGCCCTTGGGGTGAATGTTGGTGAATGTTTCTGCACTTGAGGTGAACGTTGGTGAATGTTTCTGCACTTGGGGTGAACGTTGGTGAATGTTTCTGCACTTGGGGTGAACGTTGGTGAATGTTTCTGCACTTGGGGTGAACGTTGGTGAATGTTTCTGCACTTACGGTGAATGTTTCTGCACTTGCGGTGAATGTTTCTACACTTGAGGTGAACGTTGGTGAATGTTTCTGCACTTCGGGTGACCGCTGGTGAATGTGTATGCACTTGGGGTGACCGTTGGTGAATGTTTCTGCCCTTGGGGTGAATGTTGGTGAATGTTTCTGCACTTGAGGTGAACGTTGGTGAATGTTTCTGCACTTGAGGTGAACGTTGGTGAATGTTTCTGCACTTGGGGTGAACGTTGGTGAATGTTTCTGCACTTGGGGTGAACGTTGGTGAATGTTTCTGCACTTACGGTGAATGTTGGTGAATGTTTCTGCACTTGCGGTGAATGTTTCTACACTTGAGGTGAACGTTGGTGAATGTGTATGCACTTCGGGTGACCGCTGGTGAATGTGTATGCACTTCGGGTGACCGCTGGTGAATGTTTCTGCCCTTGGGGTGACCGCTGGTGAATGTTTCTGCCCTTGGGGTGAATGTTGGTGAATGTTTCTGCCCTTGGGGTGAACGTTGGTGAATGTTTCTGCCCTTGGGGTGAACGTTGGTGAATGTTTCTGCCCTTGGGGTGAACGTTGGTGAATGTGTATGCATTTAAAGTGTTAATTTAAATTTTTTTTCTGTATTTTGCTTTCATTTTCATGAAAATCTTGTTTATTTTGTAGGTCATTGATTGTATTTGGGCTTTGGCATCACAGGCCCAGAAAAAAGGATATGCTGGCCCAGTCTGGGGTGTGAAGGTTGCTGATAAAAATGTTCGAGAGTTTGACGAGGCAACCCTACGTGCAGGCCAGGGCGAGATCGGATTACAGGCGGGATATAACAAAGGCGCAACACAAGCGGGCATGACAGCTTATGGTACCACCCGACATATGTAACCATGGTTACAGTGACCATGGATTCCATTTTTTCACACCCGAGTGGTTTCCAAATAGAGACCTATCTAATTAGCATAGAATACAGTGCTTAAAATAAATGTTAATTATGCATTGTTTTAGGTACCTTACAGTCGATTCTCGTCAATGTTTTTTTTTTACGAATCCACATGCAATCAATTTGATAGCAACGTCATTTCATCGTAATACCAAACAGATATTTGAATTATCACTGCTTTGAATGTGTTGAGTTGTGTAGGGCATACGCTAGTAAAGATTTACACACACACCTTTCAGAAATTGATATTTTACTGTCATTTTTAGGGGGCTGTGTCAATCTTGCATTTGAATTAATTACTGAATATAGTAAGAGCCTTGTGAAAATGGGATATAAAATAGATGACAAGTGTAAAGACAGCTGAAGTTTCAGACTATGACTAATGCATTAATTCATATGTCACCACACACCTCTAAGATGGTAGTATAAAATCTCTAAATCTGCTGCTTTAACCTCTTCCCCACCAGACTTTCTCACCCAAATTTGTCAGCACTTTTTTTCTAATATTCTTCAATATTTCTGGAAAAGAATACTAATTTTAGAGTCAACAAACAAAATTCTCGCCAATTTTCAGTTTTCACTCAAAAAATTTGGCTATTTTTGTTCCTTTTTTGTATCTTTTGAAAGGAAAGTGCAGACTATAATCAAGACTATTATGTGAATTTGTGATGAAAAGAAGGAACTTGTGGTGAAATGGTTAATAGGAAGTACATAATTTTTATTGCTAATATATTTATCGATGGAAACAAGCAATGTATTATGTTTTGTATCAGTATTTCAAAAGCAAAAATTGAATTGCTTATTGAGCTATCTCTATCTTTAGCATGAACATAAGACCTTGCACGTGCTGTTTGTTTATTCACATTCATGTGTTCCAAACAAATAGTTGCTCCCTGCATAATAAGCAGAGTCCTTAGATGTATTTCAACTTTCTTTTTTTTGGTGGATATAATTGACATAATCCTAGCTGATTTTTTTCTGTTTATTTCTGCATCTATCCATGAAACCTTTCCATAGGCAATGCGCAGATATCACATTTGCTTTGTAGATAAAAAAAAGTAAATTTATGTTTAATTTTAGTTATTATAAATATATATTTTAAGTATTAGTAGCTTTGCGGTCATTAGATGTACTGTGTAGACTAATTTAATGTAAATGATTTATTTTATATGCATTGTATGTATACATGGTACCCATATGGTGTTTTACTGGATTCAGTAATTGCATTGCCAGTATTTAGGTAAAACTCAACTATTCTGTATGCCTGTCTGTCTGCACATCTTTCTTTCTGTCTTGGCACTGCTATGCAAGGTACAGTTAACAGTTCAATTTCTCGACAACAATTTTTACTAATTTCACGAATCTGGAGAAGTTATAAAAATTCATGACTGACATATTTTTAGTCGCAATGTTTATAAAGTGTGGATTTTAATCCTACTGCTGCCGTCGTGTGCGAGGCTTGCCAGGGTATTGTGGACTACTGGTAATTTCAAAATATAAAGTAGTACCCTGGAATTTTCATGAATTTTCATGCCTGGAACTTGTCTTACTTACAATGTAGTAATTAAGTTTCAATTATGAATAATAATGAATCTTGGGACCAATTTATATTTATGTCTTTTCAGGCATTTTCTTTCACGTTAGTTGTCTTTATTTGTGTTTTTTTTCTAAATTTAGTTAAAAAAAAATTGGCATTCAGACTGATGAATAAATTTAATATTTTACAATAAATTAGAAGTTTGGATAACTTGACGATAACTTCTCAGGACTAAAGTTTTGTGCCATATTTAGCACATGTAGAAGGCTCTTCTCAATTATCTAAGCTCTTAATACCCATCAAATCATAAAATGCTTGTGTATGTTTTTACCCTGCTCATGGTAATTGTATTGCATACACTAGGCATCTTAAAGTCTATTTTTGCATCATAACCACATCACTGACGCTGTTCACTTTGACAAAGTTCTCAACAACCTGTGTGCGTCCAGGCACATAATGCATTAATTCAATACAATGCTGATATTCAGAAATATAGAATCTGTGCTTTTTCCTGTACATGTAATTAAATCTTGTCAGTAATGCGCCAGAAATTCATTACATTCCTTTAATTTCAATTTTTTGCATGTATTTTTCTGCATGGTAAAAGAAACTTTGAGACCATATCTATATTTGAGGGGAAAACTCATGCGACTTCTATAACTATGTACATTTTAAAATCGTTAATTCAGATTTTTTTCTATAAATTGTATATCTATGCAGCATGTATACAAGAATTTATTGCATATTTGCCAAGTCTATATACATATTCTTTTCTAGAGTTTATGGGAGAAATTTTTGTTATTTCATAAATATTTGTAGTGTCTGTAATTAAAGATAGTAAAGAACCCATTGTGTGATTGTTGTAAATTCATGTTGTCTCAATATCTGTGGTGTTTTTTTATTGAGTAAGTTTTTTGATTGTACTTCTTGGTTAAGGCAACCAAGACCCCCCCCCAAGTCATAAACAAAAGAATAACCAAATATTTGAGCCTATACCTACAACAGATTTCAAATAGTGCCTGTGAGCTACTGAAGTTGGCTATGAAAACTGCAATAACTGGTAAAAACCTCTCAAAACTTCCTGGTGCTAAGCATTTTGTATTGTATAAAGGGCATGCTTTGGCCTCTAATCTGTGGTAAATTTATGTAATTTGTTGGTAGAACAAAAGGATTTTATGTGTTTGAATCAATTTGAATAACATTTGGCTACAGTCACAATCGTTAATTTATGGTCTACCTTAAGTTTCCATGCTGGCGTGTTTTGCGCCCTCTTGAGGCCACCGGTGCGTTGTACCGTAAACTCATTCTCCTTCCCAGAGTTCCTTGCGTCTAGGACACCGAAAGTACATTCGGAGAAATAGAACTCTGCCTGGGAAATTGGCGTAAACTCTTTAGATTTGCCGCGAGACTAGCTCCAATTGCGTGATTTGTTTGTAGTGACAATATCAGAGGGGGCGTCGCCCCTAGAAAATCAAGCTGAAACACCTTGCCCCTCAAAATGCAGGAAATAGCGTCTAGATTTCAACATTTTTAAGAGGGAGCATGCCCGGACCCCTAGTAAGGTCGCGCCGAAGGCTGGTGAGTAGACCCCCCCCCCCCCAATGCAAAAGTTCGTGTCGCCGGGAATATTGTGAAATTGGCGGAGTGATCGCGAAAATCATCAAATCATTATGGGAAATAACTTCTCATTGGTATAATTGAAAACTAATTATTACTGAAAACTCACTAAATTAAATATAAATGTTTAACAATATTAAGATTCGTATCTGCATTAACAATGCATGATTTCTTCACCCCATGTCACCATAAAAACCATGACAAACATGCAAATTTTCTGACAGTTCTGACTCGTGTTTTGTGAAAACTTTTCTAATGACCCCATTTTTTGGTATCCTGTTGGCATTAAACAATAATAATGAAAGAGCGGAAGAGATGCCATATAATCTGACAGGAACCTCCTCAGCCGATACAACAAAGACGCCACTATTTCTACACAGATGTATGGTACCATGCTGGTACTGAGTGTCGTACGCCATTATTTCTACACAGATGTATGGTACCATGCTGGTACTGAGTGTCGTACGCCACTATTTCTACACAGATGTATGGTACCATGCTGGTACTGAGTGTCGTACGCCATTATTTCTACACAGATGTATGGTACCATGCTGGTACTGAGTGTCGTACGCCATTATTTCTACACAGATGTATGGTACCATGCTGGTACTGAGTGTCGTACGCCATTATTTCTACACAGATGTATGGTACCATGCTGGTACTGAGTGTCGTACGCCATTATTTCTACACAGATGTATGGTACCATGCTGGTACTGAGTGTCGTACGCCATTATTTCTACACAGATGTATGGTACCATGCTGGTACTGAGTGTCGTACGCCATTATTTCTACACAGATGTATGGTACCATGCTGGTACTGAGTGTCGTACGCCACTATTTCTACACAGATGTATGGTACCATGCTGGTACTGAGTGTCGTACGCCATTATTTCTACACAGATGTATGGTACCATGCTGGTACTGAGTGTCGTACGCCATTATTTCTACACAGATGTATGGTACCATGCTGGTACTGAGTGTCGTACGCCATTATTTCTACACAGATGTATGGTACCATGCTGGTACTGAGTGTCGTACGCCATTATTTCTACACAGATGTATGGTACCATGCTGGTACTGAGTGTCGTGCGCCACTATTTCTACACAGATGTATGGTACCATGCTGGTACTGAGTGTCGTACGCCATTATTTCTACACAGATGTATGGTACCATGCTGGTACTGAGTGTCGTACGCCATTATTTCTACACAGATGTATGGTACCATGCTGGTACTGAGTGTCGTACGCCACTATTTCTACACAGATGTATGGTACCATGCTGGTACTGAGTGTCGTAACGTGACTCGCACAGTCTGGAGTTAATTAAATAATTACAACGGTTGTGGCAGTTATGCAGACTAAATGCTGTAAAACACGAATCTCTGTTTAATATGCATCTTGTGAAAAAATAAATCTCCGCCAGAGTCGACAAGTGGTTTCACGATCACTTCACCAATCCACCCCATGCCCCCGCCCGACTGACATGGTCCAATTTACAATCTAAATTATTCAGTGTCGCGGGCCAATGATGACAAGTTAAAACCACAGTTGTCGTGTTTCCTATGGGTCCCCGGGTCATATAAAAGATATCGACTGAAAATTTAATTACATCACGTGAATATGATTTGAGCATTGATAAGATTTTATCAGAAATAAGAGAATCCACTGTCTTTCAAAAATTAAAAATTCAAACTTGGCAAAATTCGCCATCACAATCTGATCAAAACAGAAGAAAATTTCAATTAAATGTTATATATTAGGGTGTAACAATGTATATTTATTAATACATGAACTTAAAATAATGAGCTTAAAGTGAAACACCTAATGTCGTCATGTCATGCAATTCGGGGATGAACTTCATAACACTATGAACTGTTGGAGATATGAATCAAGGCTGGTTACCCCACATTTTAAGATATATTGGAATATTTTACTAAAAGTTAGCGTGACACATTTTTTGGTCGACTGCTCTTTCAAACAGCCCTCTGTTTATCACCCTGTCTAATTATACTAACAGACGATAGAGGGCGCCCATCGACTTCGCTGTACAAAAATTAGATGAAAAAAATGTTTTGCAAGTTCCTCCTGCCTATATTTGACAGTATGGCTATTGCCTGATGCGTTACAGAGTTCATAGTTTCTGACAATGTTTCAATATCCCATGTTTGACTCGACGTTGCAGCTGAAAGGAACGACTTCAGAAGTAGAAATACTTGGTCGATGTTACGCTTTCAAAAACAAAAAACGTCACCCGGCCTCCAGGGCGTGAAAGCAAGAAAGACAACTTAACCGTCACGAAAAAAGTTAGTTATTCGCATGTTGTTTGTGGTTTATTTTAAGAACTGGTTCTGAACAGAGGCCCGAAAGTCCGTCCAGTATCGGTTAGTTTGTATTACACCCCTACTTAAGATCGACAACTTGACTGTTTCTGAATTCTTAGGAAAATTTGGTTCTATTTTGAGAAAGAAATGACGCGTATTTGTCTTTCTTACTTTTGGACGTATGTTTTTAAAATCCGTAAATATGGGGCGGGTGTACAAAATTGTCGCTCTTTCTGAAATTTGGGAATTCATTTTAACACAGATGTTTTTCCGTCTGGAGCACGGAAGAAAGTGGTATGAAGCTAACTATACTTTACAGAAATACCGTTTTCTGTGGGTTCTCCAGATAGTGGTTACGGGGAGTCGAAGAATATATCATAAAAAAACTTAGGCCACTTTGATAATTAAATTGCACGACTTTAGTACCGTAACCAAGGAAACAATCAAAGGATCATTTACAAGTTCACCTGACGAATTCCTGCTAGAAGACGTCTGTAACCCAGTATCGCAATATACTTCGCTAAATCAGGTGTTAACACATTGGAAACTGATGACATGTGCCGAATACGTTGTTTTAAAACTGACATGCAATAGAGGCTGTAAAACATTGAATATGTAAACTTCACCATCTATGTATTCACGTGGGTCAACAGAGGCAAAGTCGAATCTGACGTCATCAGTCAAGCCATTACTGACACTCACATACAGCACTGGCATACACTCCGTATTTAGTTTTTTTTTTATAATTCCAATATATTCAGTTCAAATATCGTGATAATGACGTCACATACAAAAAACAAGGTTGTGAAATGAAACAATGCTGGTCAAAATGTTAAAAAAATACAATAAACGAATCCGTGTATGAACATGTTATTTTTCAGTTGTAATTACATAAAATGGATTCTGAATTCATAGAAGTTCAAATAATGTAAAATGTGATCGGTATTAATCTATCATCTCTGATTTTCAGACGACATAAAACACTTAAATTTTACGATACACAGCGAGAACAGGTGGAAAGCGTTAAACAGAGAATCAAAATATTACCACCAAATTTGGTATAAAAAATGTCAATACTAAAAATCTACTGGTAAACAAGAAAACTGCTGAAACTTCTAAAACTTATAATATGTTATCATAACTACACAAATAAGTGAGTGAAAAAAAAAACGCAAATAATCGAGGAGTTAAGAACGACATAATTTATGGTTTTAGTTTGTTCTGCGTAATACGAAATTATTAAAAAGATACCAACAATTATTCTAATACCTAATTGCGATTTCCAAAATACGAAAGAAATAAATCCTATGAATCTTGGTTCAGCAATAAATGTCATAATAAAAATCACGTTGTAGATACAGTTTAGCCTGTCACAAACACACGCGTCATTTAATAATTTTCATCCTCTCCGTTCTTCTCGTCACATTTTTTGCCACATTTCTCGGATTTCTCGCAGCACTTCCCGTCTCCGCAGCCAGATGGATGTCCCATCATGAATGATGGGTGCATCATACCACCAGGCATCATGAAAGCAGGATGCATGCCATGTCTCATCATCCCCATATCGTGATGAGGGTCTCCTTGTTCAGAGTGATGAGGATCTTCTACGCCGTCGCCAGTCGATTTTTTCTTGTCATCACCACAGCAAGGCGGATGTCTCATCATGAATGGTGGGTGCATCATACCACCAGGCATCATGAAAGCAGGATGTCCAATCATCCCCATACCGTGATGAGGGTCTCCGTGTCCAGAGTGATGAGGATCTTCTTCACCATCGCCAGTCGATTTTTTCTTGTCATCACCACAGCAAGGTGGATGTCCCATCATGAATGATGGGTGCATCATACCACCAGGCATCATGAAAGCAGGATGCATGTCTCCATGACCGTAGTATCCGTACATGA